ATTTTTAACATTTTGTTTTGTGGGAGACAGAAGGAATGCAGATTAGAAGAGACTGATAAGAGTGAGGCTAACACCACGCAAAGGAAACTATGAATTGATACCTCGAACAGCCTGCTCCTTCCAAATGCTCTTGTTCTCCGCGAGGCAAGGAATCCATGGCTTTCCAATCTTAAACCTCCTAGCCTCCGGGTTCGAACCTGCGGATTAATCATCTCTCGAGTACCATTCGCAGTTGAGACGCACCTAAGCGTGACCATAGATAGGCTCACCGTTGTTGGACTCGTCCACGCTCTCCTTGGTGTTCAACGGGGTGAGGACCGTCTCCAACATGTCGCTGCACACCTGCATGCTGGGCTCGACGATAAACTCTATGAACCCTATTTGGGATTCAGCCACCAGGGTATTGTTACGATCGCATAGGGGGGAAAATGGCAATCCCATGGCCCTTTCTTTGTCTCCCTGCCGGAAGAACTCTTCCAGAAGCTGCATCGTCCATCTGCGTGTCAGACGAGGTAGTTGGAAAATTATACTTTTCAGTACAATGCAAATGCGGTACTTAAATATTCATGAATGGAAAAGGTGCGATATTCGTTATATTAGGTTGTCCCGGAAGTTTCTTTCGCGAGTTGCACTCAATTATTTTATGTGATCGTGTTTGTACAAATAGACAATCGAATTTCATATATATTCATGATGTAACAGTAATGGAGGAAAATAGATCGTACACAATTCAGTAATGTAACATAAAACAAAGTATTGTGCATGTGTTAAGGATCGCACAGATTACTCTGACGTGACGTGATCCCGTGTCATGAGACGCGTGATATGAAAATCTAACATAGGGTTTTGCATGGCGACGTTCACATTACTCTGACGTAACGTGGGCTGATGCTATCTGACGAAATGTGCGTTCTGACGCGTTAGGAGCGTATCAAAACTACTACATTTTTCGTGAGCGTTGGAAAGCGTTAGAAGACTCAGGTGTTTTCTAGGAACCTGTTTTCCATTTTTAAGAGATAAACTAATTTAAGAAAAACAAAAACTACACTAAAAAGTATAAAATAATTTTTAGTTAATTTATATAAATTTATATGACCAGTAATTTATATGAGCAGCTCTAGATATAATTGGTTATAAAAGTATGAGAAAATGCAGTGAAAAGTATGAAATAATTTCTATTTAAACTGCATTCTTGTCAGCTTTTCATGCATTTGATTAGATATAAAATGCAGCATATTAAATACAAAAACATAATTTTTCTTGTACTTGAAATGATTAAACATATTGAAATAATAAATAAAATTATTAAATCTGATCTTAAGAAATTTTAATAAGAAAAATTATTAGCATTATTATTGTTATGCTCGATCTTTATTTGTACTGTAAAAAATGTTTAATATCGTTATTAAACGTTAAACGTTATTAAATCTCGTCACGGCTAGGTTGGTTGTTGACAAACTAGACAACTACACGTCTGAAGTAGTTAACATCGCCTACCGCGATACCTCTTCGACATTCCAAAAAAAAAAAAGAGTGTTCCGTCGCAAGGAACATAACATTGAAATTGTGTTGGTACGTTTGGCCTGCGGACGAGAAAAGGTTATTTTTGAGATTTAAGGTATTTCGAGTCTTTAGCGTTGAATGGTTTTTAGAATCTCTAATACCCGTTTCGACCTCAATAACCGAAGTGCCATAAACTCAGAATTATCGAAGGATTCATTATTTCTGACAATTTCTCATGTCTGACGTGGGCCCACGGTGCCTGACGTGACGTGGGAACACGTCAGAATAATCTGTGCGACCCTTTACTTATTAATAAAGAAACTTTCGGGGCAACCTAATATTTATAGCAAGTAGACTGCGGATGTTTGCGCAATTTCATATCTTTACATACACAAGCGAAGAAAATAATGTAAACCAACATTATATTATACATTTGTAAATTATATTTTATAGATTTATGCATTTGTACATATTCTCGCATATTTACATTTGTCATAAATGCACAAATATTCGCAGGCTAATAATAAATCTATAGCTAGTAACGAAATCACCCAGAAAACATAAATTTCAAAGAATCGAATCCAGTATTGAGGCAGCCATTGAAATCAAATTCTATACACCTTATGGAATCTTTTCTTGCCAGCGACACGAATAGAATGTCAATTTCAAAGACGAGTACGAATACCGGATGTCAAGAAAATCTTTCGATCGTTGCGATAGTGAAAAGCAAAATGGCCCTGGAAGGACTTAAAGTAGCCTTCGATTGAAAGGAGGAACTTGATCACGAATCTTTTATTCCAGATAATAAGCTTCTTTTACGGCGTTTAAGTTTGCCCAGTGCCAGACATTTAATTATATTTAAAAGGGTTCATATCCTCCTGTGGCCATTGTGCAGTCGATGAGTAATTTCAAGTAGAACCTATTTAAATTTTAACGAAGAACGCTCCCAATGGCATTTTAATTAACACTTTTATCGAGATCTCATTTGTACCTATTTGTACCGCGATCGAACAAATGATTAGTCTTAAAGACATTAGTTTGAAGTTAGTTTACCTGTGATGAAGGTCCCATCTTTTGGCTGGGTGCGAGATGTCGCAGCAATGGAGGACGAGACTGACAGCCTTGCTTTTGTCGACGCTAGGCTCCGCCAGGCTCAGGATGTTCTTCATGTTCTTCAATTGTTGGAAATGAAAGCTCATATCGGTCGCGAGGACCATATCGATGACCAGGGAACGGAATTCTCGGAACTCCTCCCTCGAAAGGTTTTGCAGTATGTTGCACTCGTCCTCTCTCAATATTCTAAAAATATACAATTGGTTGAGAATCGTGTTTAAATTAACGCTAGGTTTACAGAGATGTCTCATCAGATTTCTATTATGAAGATAATGCTTCATTAAGTGAAGTAAATTTACTAAATTTAATTAGGAAGTTTAGGCAAATATGAATTTGGACATATTGTTGACAAATTGAAAAAGTAAGAACGAGTTAAAATGACTATTCTCTATAAAGTTAGTGCTAAAAAAAGGAGTTGGACGAAAAGTGGAAAAGTTACCTTCGTTTAAATTACATTCAACCAATTCGACCTTTTTCTATTTAACCAACGCTACCGATTATTTTTTCATCAAACGTGTCATGGAATTAAATACCATTTTCGTTCAGCTCTCAGCTGTTCTTTGTTTCAACGAGAGCATACTTTTTTCGAATGGAATGAAACGTCCGATTGTTGTTCCAGGCTCCCACGTAATACAAAAGCAACTTTTTCTCGACAATTTATTCTGTTCGATAACTTCTCCACAATGCACTTCCGCTTTATTTAACAGGAAAAACGGAAAGTTTTTTTATTCTGGAAACTGGGACGGAGTTTATTCTCGAAACGAAGGCGGAGAATTAATTGAATTGTCTTAACGGGGACAATGATTCCGCGATAAAACATTTTTCAAACGAGTTAGTATTATGGTAGGTTTGGTATAATAAATATGCAATGTTATATTTGATATAAAGAGTTTTAGAGTGTAATATAAAACAAGTGGTTCGTTTACAGGAAGAGTAAGGTGAACGGTGGCTGAATGGGTTAAGTAGAATAAGACAGGATAAGTCGTACCTGGTCGGACACGTTTAGTTGGATACGAGAGCAGGAACTGTAACTTGATCAGGTATTTCAAGTGCGATAGAATAAGAGAACGGACGTTGTACTTTATCATACATTTCATACACAATGCGATACTAAAAGTTCTCCAAAAGGGAAAAGGACTCGGATACAACTTGTCTATCTCTCCAAAAATGAACAGATTCACGCGTTTCGGACACCAAGGGAAAGCAATTCTCGTTTCGCACCGATTGAAATTGGAATGAAAATTGCGAGTAATCGACAACTCGTTAGAACGTGAGTTAGATACACGTGACCTTTCGATCGCGTCCCCTATATACCTACCGGAAGCTCGCGGAGATGTGGTGATTTTCCAGAACTGCCCGGTCGTTGTAGAGAAGCGCCGTATCGCTACCGGACATTACGTGGAAATTGTTTGTGGTCCCAGTGTGCTCGTAATCATGAATAATCGCCGCCACGAGGGTGGCGAAAATCTCCAGATCGGTCAGCCAATTCTGCGCAACAAGCAAACACGTTACGCTCGCGGCGTAATCCACCGTCGAACGTGCAATTCTCCGTGTAAACGTGGTCGTGAAAACGTCCAAGTTCGAAATTTCACCTTTCGCTTTTCCTAGGAATTTCCTTCGTTTGCGCGAGCCGCTTTAACAGCTCGCGCCCAAGAGTGCTTTAATTGCGAGCGAAGTTTAAACGAGAAATTAACGAATCGCGGTAGTCGTTTTTTACTTCGATTTTTTTTTTTTTTTTTTTTAAAGCTGCACCGTTGATAGAATATACGGTGAAACGTTGTTAAAGAGGAGATTGCAGGAGTTTAGACGGAGATCTGGTTTATTCATTCTTTTTGAAGAATTTGCGAAGATGGGATGCGATTTATTTTCATTAAGAATTTATTGAACTTATTGAGGTGTCGAAGAAAACGAATCTGGATAAGATTCGTGAATTCTGAAGAGGCGTCAAGAACAAATACCGTGACGAATCTTAGATTATGTAGTTTTCAAGCATTTAAAAAAAAGAAATTTTAGTAAAATGTTGATGACATAAGGGAATTCAGATGTCTTGGTCTACTTTTGCTTTTGAGTTTCTATGACTGCCCTCCAGCACGACCTCTTCCCCTTTCACGTGTCGTTGTCCAGAGGGCAATACGCCAGTGCAGAGCAGAGCAGTTCAGGGCATTTGCACTGTCCTAGAATGTGCATTCTAATGGGATCAGAGTGAGGGGAGGCTCGTGTGTATACGTTCCAGTTCAATGACAGTGATACGATAGCGTACGCAGTGATACAGTTTCTTAGATTAGATAAATGGTACAGATGTGTTTTGATTGTGGAAATCTCTCGATAAATTGACAACAGCTCTTCGTTTTGCTATACACACATTCCACAGAACTGAAGGTAGATTCACTTGTCCACGCTCTGCACGAACCTTGTTTACTTATTTTCAATTTATATTTCAACGTTTAGCCAATAATGTGATCGATTCTGTTAGTAACAGTAGCTTTATTTATCCACACTCTGCATGAACCATGACGGCCATTCTCTTGTTTTCAATAGATTTCGAAATCTGTTAGGTGAACGATTTTCTAAGATCCATGACAATAGAAGGTACCTTCACTTTTCCATACACAGTATCTTTCGTCGTACGGACTATTCATTTGTTATTATCAAATTTCTCCAGAATTAAAGTTAAGCTCATTATCTATAGATTCTTTTAGATAAAAAGATTTATAATATAAACATTGTTTTTTTCTCAACTAATACCAGATAAAGCTGATTATTTATCGGTACTTGTCTTTCCTTTTCGATAAGAATTCGATAAGAACCAGTTAATCCTTCTTGATTAATGAACGAACTCACCATGAGTCCCGTTTGACAGAGAATGTAGTGCATGGTCTGCGCGACGTCAGCCGCATGCAAATTGTTGTGGTACGGGTTACGATGCCTGCAGTAACCCTCCTCGACCCTCCCCAAAAAGCACTCCAACACTGCGGGGGGCACCTTGAATTTGTGGATCATCCCGTATCGGTTGAGCAGATCGTAGCCCAGGTACTTGACGGGGGTTCCCATCGCGGCTTCGCTTAACGAGAACACGTCGAAGGACCAGTCGTCCAGGGTCTTGAATAAATATGCAAATTTCAACTCTGTGAGGAGTTTGTCAATTATTTCCAACGGAATTTTAGCCTCATAAAAATGTTCAGAAAAGTTAGCGTAGTTGAGGAGGAAACCAGGGATTCGAACCCTAACCCGTACCGGGTTTCGGTACTTCGTATTATAGAATAACCCATTTAACCAGGTAACACAAGACATCTGTAACCCGAGTAACCCGGTTAACCCGGTTGTATGGGCGTTATAATAATACAGTAAAAACCATAGTTATTACCATGTTTCTAAACGGTAATCAATTTTATTTCAATATTGTCTGTTTTCTACTCTACTGTCCATCCGCGAGAAGAAGGTCATGCAAGTGCTTACATTTACTCGTATGTGTGTGTGTTCATATTTTGTATATATTTATTCCATTTTTAACTTATGTCTGTTCATTGTACATTTATTATGCCAAATAATTGTTGAAGTTTAAAAAGAAAGTACAAATACCGTTTCTAACAACACTCGAAAATTAATCAATCCTACATTCATTATATACTCGTACATTTTAAACAATTTACTTTCATTTGATTTGAATATTGCTGTAAGTTCACATATCTTTAACTTGTCTGGATGTCTAGGATGTCTTCTTCTACTAGTAACCCACTCCGAGCAGGTTAACCCGCTCTTCCTACAATTCAAGAACCGTTCCTTCGTGGTTAGTATGGGTTACAGTAACCTTTCGTTCATTAACCGGGTTTGGGTTTGGGTTCAGCAGCGGTTCGAATCTCTGGAGGAAACCTGTTTCAGAACGCTGAAAATCAGGCACGTCTTTACGAATCGTTTAAAAACAATAAGTGGATCTCCGTGAAACTTACACGGGCCTTTTATTGGATATTTGGTGAAAACAAATTACTTTTGTCAATACGAAATTGTACGTGAAAATTGTACGTCTCGAGACAAAATTTTAACGCTATACACGGTCTGTCTAAAAGGAAACCGAATTTTTGCTATAAAAAGAAAAAAGTACAAGTAAAGTTTCTACACACACGTTTATTTACTCAAAATAATCTCCGTCTGCGTCAATACACCGTGTAGACGCGTAATTAACATTTCGAAGGACCTTTGCAGCTCCTGTTTGGTAGCCCGTTTAGTACGGCGATTACAGCGGCCTGAATCTCCGAAATGTTGCTACAATGTGGAATTTTCAATTTTTGGAAAAGAAAATAATCGCAGGGAGACAGATCAGGCGAGTAGGGTGAATTATCCAAGGTAACAATTCTAATTCCAATGAAAGGGACACATTATAGCACTATTTCGGTTTAGTATATTCTACACGTTGTATTGACGCAGAGTGAGATTATTTTGAGTAAATAAACGTGTGTGTAACAACTTTACTTGTACTTTTTTCTTTTTATAGTAAAAGTTTGGTTTCTTTTTAGACTGACCGTGTAGAAATCCTCACGTGTTTTAGCCTAGCCGTGAAGGTGTTAAAACCAGGGGTGTGCGGGATCCCGGTCGGGACGGGCATTCTTCCCGGGATCGGGATGCAATCCCGAGAATTTCAAAATCCCGATTACATCCGGGATTCCCGTGAATTTCTGGGATCCCGAAACCATTCGGGATTCCCGAGAATTATGAGATCCCGTAAATGTTCGGGATTCCCGAGAATTTCGAAATCCCGTACATTCGGATCGCTGAAATTTTTAAGAATAACAACACTTTCGGAAGTCTCAGATATTATTCTACAGGGTGGTCCACCTAAGCAAGCTCGCCTAAATATCTCCTCTAATTGTGGGGGTACAAAAAATATTTTGTATGCTATTTGAATGGTTTGAAAAAACCATTCTATTGCAAAAGATTTCTTTTTTCTAGGGTAATTTTTTTCGGAGTTTACAAGGTTATCGATGTTTTTTTTGCGCATAAATGTATAATTTTTTTATCGCATCGTGTAGCTGATGTGAAAATACGTTCAGATATGTACATTACATGACCTTGAAATGACCTTTGAGTTCAAGAATGAAATGGAAACGAAATATTGTTGTCTACAACATTCTCTCAAAAAACGATTCATCGTTTTCATATTGCTGTAAACCCCACTAACAAAAATTCAGGCGATTTTCAAAATCACGTCCATGTAGATCCTGATGGAGAGACACATAATACGGATGAAATTTTTGTTCACAAAGTATTCGTATTATGCTTGTTTTGGAAATATTAGTTACCCGTTCCAATTGTCGTGTACTAACATGCGGATTTTCGGCAACTTTTTCCATAATAAATCTCGTATTTAATTGATTTGTAACATTATGGGTTCGCGTACGCTTTTTCGTATTGACACTACCACTTTCAAAAAAATGCTTGACCACCTTTCCATATGTACTACGCGATGGACAGTTGCGTTCAGGAAATTTCGTTCGTTACAATCGAACAGCTTGCCTTAAACACTGATCACTTTTACTATAAATCAGAATCATATCAATTTTCTCTTGCTTTGAATAACTCATCGCGAAGGATAATATCCATAAACTGACGAACTGTTTAAAAATGATCAGATTTCTGCGGTGTCAGAAGTCATTCGTAGTGTATTCCCGAACGACGTCTTTGTCTGTAAAGTCTCGACAGACAACAATTTTTCGTTTCCATTTAATTTTTGAACTCAAAGGTCATTTCAAGGTCATGTAATGTACATCCCTGAACGTATTTTTACATTAGCTACACGATGCAATAAAAAAAATTATACATTTATACGCAAAAAAAATCGATAACATTGTAAATTCCAAAAAAATTTACCCTAGAAAAAAGAAATCTTTTGCAATAGAATGGTTTTTTCAGACAATTCAAATAGCATACAGAATACTTGTTGTACCCCCACAATTAGAGGGGATATTTAGGTGGCCTTACTTAGGTGGACCACCCTGTATATCCCGTACATTGTCGGGAATCCCGAACATTGTCGGGAATCCCGCACACCCCTAGTTAAAACATCATTGGGTTTACAATCCCGAAAATCCCAAAAATCGAATGTTAATCGGCCCGTGGATAGCTACCTTGAGTACTTTGACCACTTCCTGGGGGAACTGCATGAGCGCGGTGTTGGTGACCCGCCTGTAGATCCGATCGACGAAAATCCCCGCCCTGATAGCGTGGGCGACCGATCGGAATTTGGGTTTCTCGTCCGCCTTCCGCCTGGTGGTGGCTAGCTGTCTGGTGAAGGTCGAGGCGAGCCATTCGCGTACTTCCGGTGGCACGGCGTCTGGCTGAACCTCCGACAGTTCGTCGTCCTCGTCTGCCAGCCGTCTAAGAATAAATTTCATTGTTACTCATTCGCGGATCGTACCGTGAACGTTTCGCGGCGATACGTCCGATCATAAATGGAAATCCCTAGCCTCGCTTTTAACGAGAACAGAGCGGGGTTCCCTCGATTAATCGACTCTCACCCTCTCTATTTTCATTCTTTCGATGAACAGAACGCGCACGCACTCACGCATACATGGTGGATCGCTGGTGGTCACGCACTCTTTCGTTTTTGATTGAAATAAAGAACGTGAATCGTGAGTGAAGAAGCTAATGGCGCTATGGACTTGGTTTGCTCGACGCTAATCGATCTTGTGGTCCTGGACTACCACGCTTCGGGAAGGGTGTTTCGATTTTGTGAGGGAAGCTTGTTTTTTTTTTTTTGCAGTGCGCGTTGGGTTTTCGATGGGGAATACTCGTCTTTTTTGAACGAGGGTGGTAGAGGGTGCGTGTGGTTGGGCTTCGAACAAGATTTTTGTTTGGAATGTTTCTCCGTTATCTCAATGTAGCTTTTACAATCTATTTTTGAAACTGCGATCGTCGTGTTTCGACGTTTCTACGTTTTATTTTTTATTTTTTTTTTTTGTCGGGGATGTCGAAGGTTTTGTGCAATTTTCGGGGATATTTTATGCAAGTAAACGTAATCTCTTTTTGAGCGAATAATTATCGAACGATTTGGAAGAGTCCTCGATGATATGCACCGACACTTTTGTGTTTGGTCATCTTCGACTTGTAATGCAAGTTTTTATTCAATGAACGTCTCGTTAGATTTCCATTTCAAATTTGTATTATTTTATTTTTTATCATGTGTTCACGCATTCATTGCAACAGGAATCTAACCTTGACGTTATTATTTATTTCATTAACGAATCACAAGGTTTTCTTCAGTGTCAAACGTAATTAGGAAAATTGGAATCATATTAAAGGAACTGGGATATTATAAACACTATACACACAAATATTTTTATGACTTCAAGTGCAGGTTCTGTGAATTTTATAAGAATGGTGGTGAATTTCTTTTATAAAAATGAGGAACGCTGAATTCAGAGAGAAACAATGCAATTTTCCTTTATTATTTTCTTTATTGAAAATATTAAGCAATAAATCTTCAACTCAAAACAAAATCATTTTCCTCGAGAGTTACGATTAGATTAAAACCTACTAAAAGTAATTAACGCCAAGCGTGTAATTAACCAGTTTCTACTTAATAATGGTCTTGAGGTAATTCTATAGTACGCGTGATGTAATTAGCACTTAAAAGAAATTAGGATGGAGAAAGCACATCCCACCGACATCTTCAATCCTACAGATCCAAGCAATCGACTATCGTGCAAAAATCGACTCGGAGCGTTTGGGGTAACTCTCGAGTTCTTTTTAGATGTCAGCAAAAGGATAGAAATCTTTGATGGCGTAACAGCCGCGCAGATAAAAAAAACGCGATTGCAATGAATGGCGGTTAATACGCGACTGACCTGACGAGGTAGTAATCTCTTCGAAGCCAGCGTTTCATTTTTTAGAGTGCCGAGTTCAATTACTTTTGCATCCAATCGATAAAAAAAAGTTTATGCACTGCATAAATACAGGCGCACTTGTCGGTGAATGGAGACAATGAAACGGCGATAATACCCTTGTCGTGGCCATTATGAAAATTGGACAAACACCACTACAAACCTGCACACTCGAGAATTGTAAATTTCACAGTCCATAATCGTAATTGAATAATAACACTGGTTATGAATATTAGGGGTATCGCACTAAAGGTGGCGAACGTTTCGGCAAATATAAGCTATTATTATCGAATCGCAGATGCAATCGACTGGGAACACACATGCACGCACGCTTTGGTACCAACAAACAGTTGGAAATTGGAATTGTAATGGTATACAGGGTGAGTGTATTTACAAGTGTATTTACAGATTTGACTATGTAGGGTTTCTGTTATAGGGTGAACCATGTTTCGTGCAGACTATGAAACTTACGCCTAAGTTGAGTTTCGAGAGGGAAACGCGAGACTGTATATTAATTTCTAGGTTGTATTATTATTTGAAATACATGTATTTGTACTAGGAATTCATTTCTGGATTGGATTATTATTTATACTATGTTTCTAGTAGTATAGCATTAATTCCTTAGTTGGATTGTTATTTGTTTTATATTTGTACTAAGAACTCATGAGTAGCATTAGTTAATTAACAGTAGCTAAAATAGTTATTGATTCCTAGATAATTAGTGTTTATTGTTTAAACAATTATGGTGAATATTATTTTGGTGAAACATTAATAGTTCACGTATTCTTTCTCTCAGTAGATCGAATGGCCATTCGAATTAACCCGCCGGATTATTATTGTTAACCCCACTCCTTTATCTTGGCCTGTGTACGGGTTCGTCCCCCATCGAGGACCTTCGGGCACTCACATTCAGTCTTCGTAGATCCTTCGGTCGATATGGGTCGCACGATCGCGCACGCGGTTCAACTCGAGTGTGGACCACTGGTGGGGGAAAGCGACCACCAGGGACCAGAGCCGCCCACTACTGACCACTAGTGACCACTACTGACCATTGCTGACCACTATTGACCAGCACTCGTAAGTGTTAAAAAAGCAGCTTACTCATTTATTTTATTCAATTGTTCGGATCTAATTTAACAATTAACCGAACACGATTACAATGAGATAATACAATATTTCATTTCATCCTTTACAATTTTGCAATTAAAATTATTCCTGAATTTTATATTACATTTACCCATTTCAAATCGTTAAAAGACTATATTCAATAGATTCCTATTTTCGTTTTCTGAATTTTATGTTACGTTCGCCCATTTCAATCGTTATATTCAATAGACTCCTATTTTTGTTTTCCGAATTTTATGTTACGTTCGCCCATTTCAAATCGTTAGAAGACTATATTCAATAGACTCCTATTTTCATTTTCACATTATTTTTTATACCTTTGAGATTCTTTGAATGCGTATGTATTGAGTGATTACAATAATCTTGATAAATTTCTAACTTATGCAGAAAACGAAGAAAATTTTGTAATTTAGCGCGTAACAAGTTGTATCAAGATTTGTACAATGGCCTAATATATTTTAAAAGAAGAGAATATCGTAGCATCTGGCTTTTATATCCAACAATAATGCGTTAAATAATAAAACGGATAATAGGGTGTGGCCCAGCGTGAAAGATCGTTCGAGGACCTCAAGGTCCCGAGTTCGCGAATTCCTGATTTATTATAAACACATTCCTTCTCGCGTTATATCCTCGAATATAAACAAAAACACGGTTTGATCTCGCGCTGTATTTATCGCGTAAATGACGTCACGCGTTATCGGTCGTTTTTCAATGAACCTAACCGTCTTTTCCCACGCGGTTGGAAATTTCAATTATCCTCGATTTGGTAAACAGTCTCGCGTTGCCCCCTCGATTCCAAGCCTCGAATCGTAAACAAAGCTCGCTTAGAGTCTCAATGGAAACGCAATAAAGCGGCAAGAAATAGTGTACGATGTACGAACGTGAACGTGATATCGAGATTCGCGAATTGTTATTTCAAACAGTTGAACGAACCTACGGCGTACACCCTGACGGCAAGTAGCTGTTGACTCGGCACGCTCTGCGTCTCTATAATTCCAAACATCAAGAAAAAACGTGTTTCACATTAACGATAGATCACATCCATGGGAGCTTGTGTGTGTATCAAGCAGGAAACGTTCGTCCGCGTGTTTCGAAATTTGTCACGAGAGATGGAAGAGAGAGAAGAGAAAATTTAGAGGAGAAAAGGGGTTGATTGTCGAGTTATTCGAGATACTCTCTTTGAGCTTCAATTATCATTGGGCCCCTAATCATATCGTACTTTTATTGAAAATTCAGGTTTCAGAGGCTATTCATTCGTACCTTGTAACAGCAATTATCATAAGCTTCATTCGATAAGAATAATTTTCAAAAAATGGTTGTTAGAAATTACCTTCTTTTCTTTCTCGAAAAAGCATCTTAAAGTTACAATAATGTAAAGTATGTAACTTGATTACACCACCTAATGTACTGATCTTACATTTGTTCCTTTTTCGAATTTATTTTATTCTAGCTTCACGTTACTTTGAAATTCCTTACATACATACCTCTAAAGTAAACAATGATAATTGCAGTTACAAAGTACGAATGAATAGCCTCATGAAAAATGAATTTTTAATAGAAGTATGATACGATTATAAGCCTACTGATAAAGTTCAAAGAGTGTACCACGACCCAAAAATTGTTGAGCTCCTCTGCTCTAGAGATCCTTTTAAGTGTCGCGAGTGAACATGGTATCACAGTTAGGGGTGCACGAACGTTCCACGTAGAAACTCGTGATTTTTCACCCTCGACCCATGCACTTTGTTCATAAACGGGCACAGAGAACACACATAGAGGAAGTTTCGGCTCTTAAACTCGTAAACAGGCAGTCATCCAAGAAGTGAGCAGGTTACACCTAGAAAGATCTAAAAAGAGTCTAGAAAGGGGGTAGAGACAGGCCAGGCAGGTCAAAGATAGTCGTCATGCTGTGTCTGGATGTGTTCTTTTTTTTTTTTGGCGCACGATGAACCGTGATCGTTTATTCAGATCGTACGTTATGGTCCTTCGGGGACGTTTTGTTCGTGATCGATCGAAATCGGTAGCTGTTTGGCTGTTTAGGCAGAACATAAAGTAAAAATGTACACAGAATGTAGTATCGTGCTGTTTATTTGTGGAGTTTGTCTGCTGGTTTTACCTGAAAGAGATATTTTTTACCGAAAAAGTAGACTTTGTTTTGTAAGCACTATTGTTGTATGTAGCACGCTATACAAATTTTCTATCGTGGGGAACGTTCGTCATCGTTCGCGACTCTCGCTCTTGTGCAAAGTTTTTTGTACGCTATATCCTACACTTATCGTTAGTAATCGTGCACTCTAATCGTGTGCTAATTAGTAGAGAAGAAGGGTAATAGGCACTCGAAGATACTATATAGAGTCCGCTAACGATCGATACACAGTGTACTACCAAACATTAACTCCTGTGCATAAGGTCTCTACGCTACCCTACGTTATTTGGTATGTGGCCAAAACTACGGTATTGACAAGAAGAAAACGTAATGTAGCGTTCTGACGAATTGCAACCCAAATTGACGTCGACGCCAGAGAGAGCGAAATTGTAATTTATTTGTCAGTCGTCTTTCTAATTACTTTCCCATTTCTTGCTGGTACAAATCGGTTAAATCGTTCTTTCTGTGCTACACTTACAGAGGTCATTATCGTTTCGTTCTTTTTGTAAATTCGTAACTTCGATTTTAGTTGAATTTAAATTCTTCACAAAAAATAAATACAGCCAGTTCCGTAACCATTCTATCGAAGAAACTCTAAATTAAACGACGTAATTGTAATGTAATTGTGTAAAGTTTATTCAGGTATTATTTATAACGAAACATTTATTCGAAAACTTGAAGCATGTCATTTAATTTAAACTGTCTTCGATAGGCATAGAGGATAGATACGAATAATGAAGGAATTGGTTGTATATAATAAAATAAATGTAAAGAGCTTTCATTTTTCTCGGTGTGTACCCTTTCGCTCTCCCTCGTCGACGCGTTCGTCGTTCATTTTTTTTCTCGCTCTAAACCGACCGAACCACCTCGAAAGTTTCGAGTCGAAAACCCCTGCGTTCGATTCCAGTCGAGTGTTCATGCGGGGGTTAAAGTTCGATTCCCTGGTAATGATCGAGCAAACGTCGCATGATCGTGAGTCTGACGGGTCCCATGAAAATCACCGACACGGTTTTCACTGACAACATTTCACCGACTTCAGATTCGACAACAATAACTTTGGCCGACAACGCCTTTATCCGAAAACGACTTTAGTCGACAACGATTTTGACCGACAATGAATTTAACCGACAACGAATTTAATCGACAATGAATTTGTCCGGCAACGATTTTGACCGACAACCATTTTAGCCAACGAAGTAATAATCAACAGTAACACGATTTACAACGATATGCATATGATATTTACTAACAAGGATCTACTATCTTATTAATTATGAACTTTTTCTTGATATAGTGAATGGAAGGACAGATTTACGAAGAAACGCAGTGAAACCAAACCGAACAAAATGTGTTTGAATATTATTGATATGTATATAAAGCATTAGATAGAATATATTATTCTCAAAATAGTGAAAAGGAAATCCATTTACCTAATGTCGTACGACACCTAAAGAAAAAGAAAAAGGATAGACTTGCAGAGGAACGTATTCAACAAATACTCAGAAATCGTACACAGTACACCACCACAAGTTGTTTCTTGCAGGCATTAGCACACAATATTAGATTATAATAAATTTAATGTAATTAATGTTTTTGTTATATAATTTATCGAATGTACTTAAGACCTTTGTTATATTGATCTAGGCAAGTTATTAACAACGGGAATATTATTCTCCTTGTAACTATTATCTGTATCGCACAATTAATTGAAGGAAGCTTAAATTTTTATTACGTTGACTTATTATGTTAGTATTTTCGTTGTCATAAATGTTTTTGTTATACACTCCATCAAATGTATTTGAAATTTTTATTATTTCCATTATTAGGTAAATGGATTTCCTTTTCACTATTTTGAGAATAATATATTGTATCTGATACTTTATATGCATATCAATAATATTCAAACATATTTTGTTCGGTTTGGTTTCACTGCGTTTCTTCGTAAATCTGTCCTCCCATTCACTATATCCAGAAAAAGTACATAATTAATGAGATAGTACATCCTTGTCAGTAAATATCATATGCATATCGTTGTAAATCGCGTTACTGTTGATTATTACTGTCGTTGGCTAAAATCGTTGTCGGACAAATTCTTTGTCGATCAAATTCACTGTCGGTTTAATTCGTTGTCGACTAAAGTTGTTGTCGGTTAAAGGCGTTCTCGGCCAAATCTGGAGTCGGTGAAATGTTGTCAGTGAAAACCGTGTCGGAGAAATTTGTGTCGGTGATTTTCATGGGACCCGAGCTTGACAGGGGTGGACGATGATCGAGAGATGTCGACAAGACGGGACGAAACGTGGAAGAACAGGGGGTGGGTGGTCTTTTTTTTGGGGTGGGGGGTGAACAGTCGCGTGAGGTCGGAAATGTGAATATTTCGCAACCTTGCCCATACGGGGGTGCGAAGCTTCCGTTTCTGGGTTACCACCGCGTGGCCCTGTGGTCCGTCCGAGTCCAAGGCGCTTCCGAGGGATGCAGATGACAGGCCCGCACCCCTACGCGATGACCGAGAGCACTCAACCCCGCCTGAATTCACCCTGCGGTACTGCTTGTTAGTGCATGTGTCAAGTAGAGAACAGAACAGTAGAATATTACAGTTTTTTTCCTTATCATTATCATTAGCATTATTTTCCGGCTGATCGACGATCACCCGCGCACCTGTATCTGGCAAACAATTAACGGAGAGACATTGGGGAACGCTGCTGCGACCTGGAAAGAAACCCTCGACCAGGGATTGTTAAATAAATCGAGCCTGAATTTTCTTTGAACTTTGTTGCTTGGGAGAAATTTCTGGTGGCAGCTGAAAGGCATTGATAAGAGATCTATTTTTGAAAATATCGGGTTTATGGGGATATCTAGTGGTCCGTCAGCGCTGCAATTTTCAAATGAGAGTTAATAATTTGATTTATTATTTGGTATTTGGGGCAATTCATTGTACACGGGCGAAGGTTCGTGTGTCACTCGTTGAGTGACCGTTTTTATGCATTAGTAGATATGTTAGGATCTCTTGAAAAAATAATTTTGAAAAATATTCAGTGATCTCTGATTAGAAATAGTTTTATTAATTGTTAATCCAAGAAAGAAATGCGAAACGTTTAGAATTTTAAATAGTTTACTGTTTCTGGTTTCGCCATCAATTTTGTTTAAAATAATAGATATCGATTCTGTAATTAATCTCTGCTTCTCGATTGAAAAGAGAAGACGATTAGTAACGATTTATTAAACACCTTGTATCACGTTGATCGTATAGTACGGTTAAGTCTCATGCATCGATGTTCAGAACGACGAATAATTGGAATAATTGCTGAAAATTCGAAAATCTTTGACATTGAGCGTCGTTTGAACTGTTTAACAACGTTTGAGGAGAAAAAAAAATTAGAAAAAATGAAATTGCCTCCTGTGAGGATTGAACTCACGACCCCTGGTTTACGAGACCAGTGCTCTACCACTGAGCTAAAGAGGCGCTCTTGGAGTCCATACCGTCAGAAACCGAGGTCATGGATAAATTGGAAATGTCCTTCGAAAGATTCTCCGCGAAACGAAATTTGCATCGTTCGACGCGATAAATACATCACAAAAAAATCACCGACTTGTTCGAAAAATCATAACGTAATTTATCACTCGACATCTTTCTATGTGTTCCAAGAGTCGTGAGCCCTGCATGATACAATTATTAATACAGTTGAATTCGTTAGTTAATTAATTAACATTGATAGCAACAATAGGGTTTTTTATAGAATAGAATTTTATAGAATCGCTTATTGGCTAGATTTTGGGTTTCAATTAATCTGAGCTTAAAAATAGGCACGGTATAAAGTATCTAGAGGATAATTTCTACGATATAATTGGCGATTAGTACGTAACATTTGAAAATCTTCGCATAGAAGTTGCATGATCGGGTAAGAAAGTAGTGTGTCAGCTCTCTGCGCGTGGCTATAATATAACAACTCGTGGAATATTATTTGAAACACTAATCGTCGTTTCGAGTAGAACTTACTTGGTTTCGTCGAGGAAAACGGCTTCGAGAACGCGTGCCGCGTAGTGCAAGTTTCGTTGGAGCAATTCTGCCGATATTTCGCCATGTTGAAGCTGCCTCAGCAAACATCTCAATCTGTGACAGAAATTATCACGAAATTATTGATTTAAATTTCTGAGATTGCAATTCAGAGCATTTTTGTAATACTAAGTTCAGATTGTCCATCAGGTTGAGACTTAGGTTACGTATCATAAATTGATTATAACGAAGATTAGGTTGACCTAGATGCCTAGTACTCTAACGTAACAAAATGGTCGATCCTATTCAAACCAGGCTTATAAATAGTTAAATGTGGAGACACGGAATTAAGACTTAGGTGGCGTGTTTAAATTTAGTTAAATGAAGATTAGCTTGGCTTAGGAGGGTGGTACTCTAACGTAACAAAATGGCCGGTCTATTTAAAGTAGACTTATAACTAGTTAAATGTAAAGACGCAAAATTAATTTCGAAACCTAGTTGATCGAGATTAGCATGTTAGGAAGAGCTTAGTACGAATCCTACCTGAGAGCAGCTTTGTCGCAGGCATCGGGGGTGTCAACGGCAGGGAGCGAGTCTGTCGTCAAGTCGATATTATCGAGAATTTCGTCGAGATCCACGGACTGGCTCGATGAAAGAGTGTCGGGGCTATGTGGCGGCGGTGAACTTTCGAAACTTCCGCCGATACTTCTATTCTTGCCGGAACTTCGGCGTACTATCGTTAACGTGCCTTGTTCTGGAACACAAACCCCGCAAATATTTAGTTAATTCGGAATCGTAATCATCCCTGATACTTTAATTAAGGAGGTATTATCGTCTAGAAGTTTGTTTTTTCAGTCATTTTTAGGAATTAATTTTGCGAAAACTATCAAACCTACAGTACCAGGCTTTTTTTTATGCATAATAAAACACATTTCAACTAACAACACAAATTTTTATGAAATACTTCATTGAAATCTATACAAGTTATGCGCTGTTATGCAGGTTGTGGCGTGAGACGCTCGTTCAATCGGGCGCACAGGCTGTGACGGTTCTAGTCGTCTGAGACAGAAAAACAAATTTTTTTTTCAATCTATATGAATGTAGTTATCGCCTGAACTAGAATTAAGTAAATACTAAATTTTTTATCGGAATCGCAGCTGTTTAAAAATTAAAGTTTAATTTTCCCGGAAAATTGCCAACTAAAATATGAGAGCAGGGCTAAAATATTCAAGCTATCGGTATAATTCTAGTTCAAACCATAGGCGATGGTGCCCTCGAAATGTGTGTAAAACCAAAAGTCAGTCGGTCCAATAGTTTTTGAGAAAAACGTGCGGTCGACTTGAAAAATGTCGTATCGAGAAAAACGCGTTTAATGTTTGCTATACATTTAGCACTAATACTGCTGAACAACCTTTAAGCCTCTGTAACTATGAGAGCTCTACGAATTTCAAATTAATATTTTAAGGGCACTTTCTCAAAACCCCAAATGATAAGAAAATGCAAAAGAAACAAAATCGAATTTTTGAAGTTTCTAGACGATAATATTCCCTTAAGCAATATTTATATGAACTTCAATTTTTCTGTACACAGACGGGAAACGGAAATCAGAATTTAAATTAAAGTACGTTTCGTCTTAAAAACGTTATTTTATTCTTTATTCTATTTATAAGTCTTTTAAAAATCTTCTAACAGTCTTTTAAAAATCGTTAGCTTATCAAGGTGTATTATTTTTGTCGAATCGAAGGAAGGCAAGATGCTATATTTATTATTAATTATAATAGGCCAATTTCTTACTTGGTAATTGGCCATTTCGACCAGGCGAGGAAGGATTGTGCGACAGAGACGATGTTGTACCAGTGCAGCTCGTTGTTGCGTTAACGTTTGGAGATGCACCAGGTGAGGACACTGCGGTATCGTCTCTCGTGATCCTTCGATCTGGGGGAGATGCAACTGCAATCAAAAAGAAAAATAAATTACCCTTGGTATTCGTTCAAACTGATATTCAAAAAGAACAAATATTTCTTTATATTTTATTAGTTTGTCTGGAAAGTCCGTGCCGATTTTTGGTAGGTGGTATACGTCTGTTTATATTGGAATGGTTGAAAACAATTAACATGGGTGCGTCCCTTAAAAGGTGGAAAGATCGTGGAACAAAATGGTATTTATATAATTCAATAAATATATATCAAAATTCAAATGTGCCTTTGAATTTTTCTTAAAAATTGGTACGAATTTTCTGGACAATCCAACATCCATTACAAACTTACATCCATTAAAAACTATGCTTCATTTTTGCTTTATTTTATTCGTACTCCATTGTCGAATATTTTTGGATAATTGAATATTTTAATTGATTATCTTTAACACTAGGCTTACAAAGATTAGTTTTTCTCCATCTCAAATTTTTACAAGGTTTTAAAATATAAGGTCTAAAATAAAAAGACGAGTGTGTATTGAAATTCATTTTTGTTCGAGCCTCTCAATTAATTTTAGTAAATCCACTTCACTTGTTAAAGCATGTAACTTGTAAGCATTATATCAGATAAACCTCCTGTATAGCCTAGTGTTAATAAATTAACATCTCTAGTTTCTCACTTAAAGTAAACATTTTGTGTCTTCTCTTTCACATTATTTTATTTTATTCGCAGCCTATATATTTTCGTCTTAATCGACCTTTAGTGTGTTCGACCAGTCTCTACGGGACTTGTTAAGTGAACGTCCACTCGACAAAGGGGGTGCGGTGGCTAATGAGAACATTTATCTTCAGAATTCAAATCGCATGCCGGAAGTAAGAGGGCTAGTATCGTCGCACGAATGATTACAGACCCTGATACGATATCGCGGTTCTTCAACGTGTATTTCAGGATTAAAAAAAAATATCTATAAAGCACGATCGTTCCGAGCCACTGCTTGACGCCATCAAGGAAATGAAAATCTACGGTCATTTGTAGTCAACTTGGAGTGTATTAGGAGGTGTCTTATTTCCCCAGTTCTCACGTCGTTATGCTTGCAACGCGACTAATCAAGCTAAGTGTTACTATTTCGAACCAAAGGAGCTTGAAACGTGGTTATCATCGCGACTACTTTCCCTCAAATTAATCGTAATCATATGTGAGAATGATCGGCACCTCGATTACATTTTAAACTTTTGCTCTTAATATTAGCCACGTGCTTGTTTTAATTTCACGCGTAAAATCATTTATCGAACCATTTAATTTTACTAAGTAGTTACATAAAGTAGGTTACAATTTACTAACTTTTATGTATAACAGTATAATATGTACATATATGTACATATAATATGTATAAGAGTATATTTCAGTGATAATATGTATAAGAGTATACATGTTATCACTGAAAAATTTCAGTGATATATTATCATATTATCACTGGTTAAATTTCTTATATACATATATATATGTACATATACTATGTATAACAGTATAATATGTATATATATGTAATATAATGTATAATTAAATTTTACCTATTTTTTAATCCGTTAATCGGTAACGTAAACTTTCGCAATTGATTCAGTATTTGTTTCGATAAAACCTCTCGTAGAGTTGTATAGCGAAGGAAATTGTAATCCACGCCCTCTCTAGAAGGTCAATTTAGTCATCCATTAACGATTAGTTTAATCGCCAATCCCCACGAGCGATTAACGATTACTCCAATTGTAATCGTCGATCAGCTCGATGAAATTTTCTCCAACATCGGATCGAATTCTGTTAACTCGTTCTTCAGTCGGGGGTTGCTGAACCGAATGGGTTAATTAGAGGGTCTCAAGTTAGAGGGTTACTGTCTGCTATAGTCGTGTTGTCGCCTAACAATGTAGACGCCTTCAGCCCCCAACCCCTCTGTAAGTGACGCAAGGACGACGAAGGAATCGTGTTTCATCCTAGATCTATTAGTAACTCGACGAGAACATGCGTCTAACAGCCATTTAAATAATGCATTTGTTCGAGTGAAAGAGGCTCACGCAGACCTATTGTATCACCCCTCGAGTCGATCTGTTTCTCTTACGCGCGATAGCATACTTGTTTTGCGAATAAAGACAGAGAAACGAAGCCTTCGATTGACATCGATTTTTTGGATTTTTATCCAATAAAATCTTAGAAATTTATTGACGACGTTTATCAAACGATGTTTTCTTCTTTTTTTCACAAGGAAATATATCATTCTGCACCTCGAGTTTTAATTTTTTCAGAGAATAGCGAGTAAGCTAAAACCAACTAAAATAATTTATTTTTTAGTCTTCGTTCGAAACATTTAGTTCCATTTGTGCCGCTCGAATAATTTCAATCTCTTTTTTCCCCTAAACGCATAAATCTCATTAAACGCGTGTTATGTGTTCGCGAGTGTCATTGCTAATGGTGAAGTACGCATCAGTGACATGCCTTTGCGAGGGAGGGGTACACAACGTTATATGAAAATGCACTTGGTTATTAAATTTCTTCGTAGCTGGGAAAATTCAATTCCTGGAAACGTGAGCTCAGAGGAATCTCGTAAAAAGCTGGATTTTAAAAGTGCCCTGATCCGCGATCATTTTTCTTTTTTTTTTTTTAACCTTTTCGAAACGTTAATTAACAATAACCGAGGCGGAAAACGAAGTACCAGAAATATTTAACTTTAACTTGTTGTTTCGAGTAAAATATCAATTCAGCATGATTCCAAATCGTTTATTAGAAGATTATTATTTCAATATGTAATATCTGTTGAAATTGAAAACGTATGTCGGTTAGTTATCCGTGTACATAATTTTTACGTTAACTTATACTTCGATTATCATCTGTGATTACTTAGATATCATTGTTAGCAGAGTGAATAGTCATACGAGCGATATGTACTGTGCCGACTTCAGAATGACATATGAAGCTTCCTCAAGGGGATATTTTTGACATTATTCAGTTAGCGTTCTTTAACATAAGATTTAATCAATTTAAGGCGTCTGGCCACCCTGAGCGCTCGCCAGATGGGTACTATTCTTAAAAAATTCATAAAAGCGAAAGTATAGAAAAAAATATTTTTATGTTTTAACACATACTAAGAACGGTTTAATGAACACGTGAAAAATTTTTTGAGATAACAAAAAAAAAATGGCGGCGGTTCGAACATTTTGGTGAAGGCCTTCGGCACGAAACGCGCGTGGGCTGTACCATCATTATATTCTTTAGGTTGCACGTGAAAAAGATAAAAAAAATATTAGATTGTTTCTGAAGTTTGTCGCAAGAGAGTAGCAATTGGATTTTTTTTTTTACCATTAAGAAAATTATGGTGAGTCGAAGAAATTTTTTTTTTATTTTTCACCGAAGTTTCGCGAGAAAAATCGTCAATAAAAAAAAAAACTAATCAAGTAATCGCAAAAATCGATTGCTACTCTTCAGATAACAAGATTTACGTTACGAAATTTACGTTGTACCATTTCGAAAAATGTAGTTTCGAGATAATCCCAAAAGAAAGTAAACGTGCAGTCCAATTGCTCTGAAATTTGTACACACTACTTTTAGATACATTATCTGAAGAATAGCAATGGATTTTTACGATTACTTGATTAATTTTTTTTCAAGAATAGTACCCATCTGGTGAGTGCTCAGGGTGGCCAGACGCCTTAACAAAAAGAGACTTGAAAATTGTTTTCTAATCCAACTTTCTAAAGATACACCACGTTTTCGATCTTTTAGAAACAAAACTGAATAATGTTGAAGGTGTTACAATGACTCTTGAGGGTTTGGTAAACATACATTATTTTCCCAAGGCCCTAATAAATAATTGTTTAAGACGCAGAATGTATCCCTAGACACGCGACACCCATCGATCGTCTCGCGCAAGTTTCGCAGGGTGGACGCTAGAAATTGTGTTATCATCCCTTTGTTCGCCAGTTTAATGGTTCACCATCAATCGGATTTATGTTCCTCCCATGCGACGAACGTCTCGTAAAAGGTGGAATTTTCAAGATCCGCGAAACGTGCATGGATTTTTATTACCGAAATGAAATTTTATTGTTCAATATGAACAAGAATTTTTATGGAGCGCAAAAACCTGGCGAACGATATCCAAAATATTTTATCAAATCGTTAACGATTCTCTTGGTTATTAAATTTCGTTAATATAGACCAAATTGATGTATTAGGTTGTCCCGAAAGTTTCTTTCGCGAGTTGCACTCAATTATCTTATGTGATCGTGTTTATGTAAATAGACGATCTAATTTCATAGACATTCATGTTGTAACAATAATGGAGCAAAATGAATCGTGCACAATTGAGAAATGTAACATAAAACATAAAATATTGTGTATGAATTAATTATTAATAAAACGAAAGAAACTTTTGGGACAACCTAATATTTTTCATGATCTTTTTTGGAGCCAATTTATTTAACGTAAACTTTAAAAATTTGATACATTTATTTATACATGTACGCTCACTTTCGTTACTATGTAGGCACTTATCACCTTTAATAAATAATTGATATACACCATAAATTATTACTATAGCAGTTTGTGGGGCTACATTTTATTTTACATGTGTATATAGTAACATTTAGTAATACGAATTCGTATAATATATGAGAGAAATTATAGGATTGTTCATATAGAAAATATTAGATTAAAATTCCAACATCTGATACATAACATTAGACATAAAATATAGTGTATGCATTACTTATTAATAAAGCGACAGAAACTTTTGGGACAACCTAATACAAAAAATTTGAGAATTATTCACAGGATTATGAATACCTACTTATTCTTGCGTATTTTTGTTTTTTTTTTGCGTATATCGAAAATCTTATTCAAAATCGAAAGCCGAGAATACAGTTTTTTCAATATCTCTTCAGGAGTCTTTTTGTAACGCGTCGAATTAATCCAATACTCCTGTTCTTGTCGCGTATGTGTGTCACCGCTGCGGCTATTATTACCGTCTGAACAAATTTTTACCTTTTGGTT